TTCCAATGGTATTCATGACGGATTTTAATGCGGAGGCCTGGACATCACAGTCTACTACAGAGTAGCTGATGCATCACCTAGGGAATTATCGACACAAGCTATGGATGCTAAACTTTCGGCTGGCACCGCTTCCCTCCTCTTTAGTAGGTCAGTTGACATGGTTACGCACCTACAACTTCTACTGAAAAATCTTTCTACGAAGTTGCCGGCAGGATTCATTGGTGACCGCGAAGATTTCTGGAAGGACCCTGACTCAATGATGGATACTCCTGGAGCATGAGTTCTAAACACTAAGCTCGCTAGAGAACATACCGATTACGACACGATCAAGTTTACAGCAGTCTTCCTGCCATGTCTTGCTCCTGGCTAACCCTCAGCAATATTTGGGAATGCAAAGTGCTTCACTTGGTCCTCCTTGTTTGTACAAGATCTTGTTGGTCATTCAAGGCCATTCCAAGGTTATCTGCTGGACGGCATTATCCGACTTAACAGCAACGATGTGTTTGATAAAAAGGGACGGTGTAGCTAACAGGACGGCTTCCCAAAACATCATATGCAGAAGATTAAGCTGGGATCCAAGTAAGTTTCCTATAAAACCAAATTTGTTTTCAAATAAGTCTATTTTGTCAATGCCCAACAACCTTTATGGCACTTGTTCGGCGAAGTTTGAAAGAATGAGTGGCTTTCTCTAACAAAACAGAGAACTTGTCTTCTGGTAGGCTTCCAACGACGCATAACGTGTTGGATCGAGAGTGTGGGGATGTTTCACACCCCGGAATGTTACACAGACTGGAGTCTTACTTTCACAGTTACAAAAGGTAGAAATTTGACCGAAGCCACACTTGAAGGATTCAAACAGAGGACTCCGTTGAGGCATTGGATGATTTTCCCAACAACCAATCAAACATAAAAACGGGGCATTGGATGAAACCGTACTGGTCTCGGCAACCGAGCATGAAGCCGCTTACCAATGCGCCATTAAGTGTTGTTAGTGTGTGGGTCACGTCTGCATTCGATCACACATACAGGCTGGACAAATCGTAGGACCGATAGATGTTGCTATTTGTCAATGTCAGCACTGTTCCTTCCGGTCCATGGTGATCTGCGTTGAACGGCGAGTATCTCGTCAAACTTATTTCGATACAGTCCCTGGGATAACGACGTCGGTTGCCTATATTTGTCTACCGCATAAATGCGGGTATTGGAAGTGTCATCCTGGTATCTTCGTTATCGCTCCACTATTATTCATGTTCAATGAGATATAGGACCTTTTTGGATGCATTAGATTTCACGTACAGACAGAAACAACACTCTCTGACCAAACACCGCCGCAATGGAGGGCATGCTAGTCTACGCTCGTTAGAGTGTAAGACTGTGAAACCATGATTAGCTTGTTATTAGAACTGTATGTGAAATTTCACGGAAATAATGAAGCCTCAGAGGAAAATTGTGATAATTAGAATGGTGGTAAGTATCTTAACTACCGAATGTACGCGTAGTATAGAAGTCCGAATAGGGACGAATGAATATCGTATATTCTCGAATATCGCGGGCGTATAATCAAGCGCATCGTAAAACAAAGACATAAAAATACGCTAAACAAAATGACTAAAATGACAAAATGACCAAAAAATATAGTTACAGACGAAGTGCTCCCCATGGTAACCGTCTAGGTGAAGCCTTCTTGAATCACCCTAGGGGTGCAACTTTCAGTCTGTAAAGGGCTTATTAGTGATTGACGTTAGAGATACATCTGTATTCTCTATTAAGGACTATGTACCTTCTGCATTTTTTGGCAGAAGTATGTGCGATTTTCCCTTGAACGAACACATTTCATTGGTGAGAAACAAAATTTCTTCTATCCTTACAGAAAACCTGATTTTATTTTTTCATGGATATGCTGGGTGCCCTGAAATAAACTTGTATCTTCATCCAGTGTTTGTGGTGTTTGATTCTTACTCTCTTGGACACTGCCAGTTCCAGGTTACCAGGACCAGTCTAATAGATGCAGTGTCATATTTTCCGAAGAAGGCTTTACTGAGGACCGTCGAACTTCCTTATTCTTTCACGCCATGAAAATATTGAAAACATCACATTGCATTTGAATGATGGAAATAATCTTGGAAAAAAAATCAAATGCCGAGGTCCTGCCGACCCTGTATTTCTACCTAGTTTTAGGCGCAATTCCGCATCAGCACTGCTTTGCTGTCCGCAGCCGGATCCCGCTGTTGTCAAAAAGCCTGTCTGACCCCGTTAGCCATGCAATGCTCTTAGCTGCAAAAGATGGAGTGAAACTTTTTGCGCCAAAATGTTACATTTTGTTGCGTGTGCTCAAACCAAATATCATTCTGATCTGCTTTCATATTTTCGCAGCTCACCAAATTTCACTGCTCTCTGGACCAATAATTCCTTTAGCGAACAAGTATGGTGGAATAATTCCCCAGCATCGTTGAGACTCCGGGATGCCTAAATGGGGTTCGAGAGCTTAGATTGGTACTTTCAATTCAATTGCCCGATTACATTAGTTCATCAGAGACTCGTCATAGCCTTCGAAATTCCATTCTATTGTGCGAATACTGATCTCCAAGCCTTCCCGACGCGCGATTGTCCAACGAATCGGATCACTTGCCGATCCAGCATCAAACCAAGCTCTGATTGGCTGAATGTCGTTACCCAACAACCAATCATGAACCAGTATTCACGGACTGTTGCTGTCAATGCCGCATCTGGAAGTGGTCGGAATCTGCTGATTTATGTCGCTGATACACCTTGTATATGACGCGCTGTACAATTTTTAGTGATCTACTTTCGAGCGTCACTACACAGTGTAAAACTGTGGTAGTTGCTTTGATGGGAGCTTTAGATTTGACGGTTCATACCGAGATTTATTCTGGGAAAAAGCCCGTACTGCAATTTGAGGGATGGATTCCATGTTTTCTGTGTCATTTTATCTGCTCCGAGAATCATTTTTGAAATAACAAAGGCAGTTTGAATAAGCGCAACTGAAGCTCAGTGAATCACCGACCCAGAGACTGCACACTTATGCGCCAGTAGCCAGTGCCTGTGTGTCGTGTTTCCTCAGCTGATGGGGCTGCAACCTGAATTACGGAGCTTACATCCGACCTTCTTCCTGACCACACATGCTAGAGAGTGACTATTCCACTTTCGATGGCTAACAGAAGGTGAGATCATTGCTGCAAAAGCTCGACGCACCCGAGCAGGAATTCTATACAATCTTCATTTTCCGCTAGCTGTTTTGCGACCTTAGCTTTGATGGGACGGTCGAAACACTTACAGATATTCGGCGACCAGTCATCACCTCGATATCCGTTGCCAATACCTTAATCTGGTCAAGACAGACGATTTGATCACGTTTGCCGGTGTTGTCAATCGGGAGTGCGAGCTTTTGAAGCTCAACCCAATGACGGAGAACCAGTTCAAATTCCTCACTGTTATATGCGGTCTCCAATCATCCCAAGATGCAGACCTCGGAACCCGGCTGCTCCACAGAATTGAGAGGGATGCTGAAATGACGTAGACTCTACCCGATATCAATGTCTCTTCAACCTGAGGCACTGCACGGCTATGATCGGTCAGTAACCTACAGCTTCAAGCAGCTTTGTTCACACAATCGACTCCGGTGTCCCAAATGAGTGCGATAGAAAGACCGATCGAAACTAAAAAGCCTCCCACGAGTTGCTGGCATCGCAGTGGGTGGCATTTCGCCTTGTATTTAGGCGTCACAAATATCCCAATTGCAATTACTATGGCCATTAAGAGGACTCATGTCGATCTCAGCTGCCGCAGTAACCACCACACCACCGTGAAGCTCACAAATCGGAGTCAGACTTGGTGACGGTGACATTCGAAGTTAGTTTTATTTGCCGAAAGAGGTGATGGTTCGTGTCAACAGCCCTCCAGTTTGTTTGTAATGTGATGTGGGCTCCAGCATCACACTGCTCAGTGAATGAGCATGGAAAAGAATTGATAAGCCGCCTGTGAAACCGAAAAGACACGGGATGTAATGCATCGGGTATTAAGCTAAAATTGTTTGGCGAGGTTGACTCATCCATAGGCCTCAGTGGCTCGACTGCATAAGCCACGTGCTAACCGAAGCCAAGCCCAAACGTGATCTCATATGGTTTGGCTGGACCGTTAAGTTGAATCCTCTAGAAAAGCCGAGTAATTACGTTTACAACCTCACGCACGCTGCATTCAGGGGTGTCTTCGGGCCAACTCACATTCCAAAGCCTTCCCTTGAGGGCCTCATACAAAGGTACGCATCCTTATACGCCAGCATGCTTGGACGGTGTACAAAAGCGAGTCAGACTGTGCCTCCTTATCGTCAAGCTAGCGTTTAGCACAAAACTCCCAGTACCGTATGCAGCCTTTCATATCGTTGACCAGGAGCTAGGCCGACCAACGAAGGCTGGTGTCCGCCAACGAACCAAATACTCAGCATGGGCCGTACCGATTTTGACAATAAAAAAGGCTAGAGAGGCCATCCAGTTCATGTATTCACAGATTGTTACAGAGGATAAAGATTTAAGCCCAAGATTCCCGGGTCGGTTTGTTCCTCTCGTTCAGCGGCTTCCGTCTATGCCCTTGCCTCCCCATGTTTCGGTTGCCAAAATGTATGGCACCTCGAACTAATTACCTTTTGGCGTATGATTTATAACTGATATCTCAACTGTACCTTCCCATTGACTTTGTGAGAAAACGGAGACAATGACTGAAGGTTCTCCGGTGGGTGACTGGAGCACTTAGGTCAAAGAGCAAGATACTGGTGAATCATTTCGACTTTAATAGAACGGTATGGCGTTTCCGGATCTTCCAATTTATATGAGTACAAGGACGACCGCCACTACGCTACTACACTTTTTCGATTTATTACATTTGAATGTTTTTTGACGACGTCATAAATTATTTCAATTTTTTCTGTGCTTTCTGAAGGAACCGTTTGTTGCACCGTTTCCAAACTTTAAATTTCAGATGATTTAGTTTCTGTGTTCAGTTTTGACTACCCTCTTATGGCCTGGAACGACTTTGGGTTGTAGGTCAGATTCATGATATTCACATGATCGATTGCCGAACAATACGTTCGCGTGTTACCAATTGAGGAATTCTAAGCAATGTTCGACGAATTGCACAAGTCCACCAAGCGGACGGTTGCAGGCAGTTCTGGTAAGCATTGTTTTGATATTTGACGTAACCTACCCATTTTTTGCTATACCGCGAATTCCCGCTAATCACGTATAGGTGAACTCGACTGATCCTCAAATCACTTACCGTGGTTCATTTTTTGGACCAATCCTACACAGGCGCCCAATACCTCAGCCACCGCCGGCGAGCAGCCGTCCGTGGTATCTCTGGATGAGCTGATCGTTGGCTAACCATGAGGGACTGCAAGTAGGAAAATGCCAAGTAGTAACTTAGAAGTAGTAGCTTAGTACTCCCATCTAACGTGCTCTTATGCAATGAGGCTTCTCAAATAGCTCACGCAGTGCAGAAGTAACTCATCGGCGCTCGCTACTGCATGCTAGTGTCGGTCAGCATGCGTCACCCGTGCAAACAACTCACTTATAATTGACGTGAGGGGAGTGTTTCTTTCGTCACACCGAGCACGAATTACGAACAGAAAGTTTACACCGATATACTGTAGAACTTTGAATGGCACAGCGGGGTAAGGCCGAATACGTACCCAGTTGAGACTACTACCTCTCCGCTCGAAGTTGGTCAATATAAGGTATCTAAGGAAGCATCCAATTTATCGCTCCACAAAGCATTTCATCAGCTACTCTTTTGATTTTCGCAAGAGTATGAGAAAGGTGTCTCGTAGACTGAAAGTCTTTAGCTGTTCACACAGAAATGGATTACGAACTTTTACTTTGGATAGACTTATTTGTCCCCACAAATTGAACTTCAAAGTTAGCAAAATATTTGGACCTTTTATAACTCTACTAGCCTTGGAAACCATTTCTTGTGTCATCAAAGAAAAGTAGATGATAGGACACTGCAGAAGCATAGCCTACCGACGTCAAAGAATTATACAGTCTCGACCGTTTGAAGAAATGCGATATTGGAAGGAACAACGAAACAATGTAATAGAAAAAGACACCTTTGAAATCCTGTCTACCAGGTAATTTCGCCACCGGGCTCCCAAGAAGCTGTCGATTTTTGTCTTGTAATTTTACTTGAGGCTTTTCGAATCAGCCGAAAAAAACGGACGTTGCCAGTCATCATGTTTCCTGTCCACGCGATCCAATATCATTTCCGGTCTTTTCTTGCTGTTCATATTGTCTCATGTCGTAGGCAGTGCCACTACAATGGGTTGACTGGTCCGCATGTGCCAGCAAAGACGGACGCATTTTGTTTTGCTTAATAAGCACAGGGATGCCTCACTTGATAATGATAAACTAACCTCACTATTCTTTGGTACACTTTTTAGGTTTATTCCGGTCATCCTCAAAAGATTTGGTCGGGCCCACTGAACAGAAAGAGGTATGTTCTGATTTGTGCCTTTTTCCATCTGCTCCAACTGAAGCCTGGAAAACGCAAAATCGACGGCAGTAAACGTATCGGATTGAAGCTTCCGGCATTAGGACAGAGTATTCGGGATAAAAACGCCGAATCGGACGACGCTAATAAGCAACTGGAAAAGCTCAGAAATGGTGACAGACTTGTCCTTTCTGACAGTGTGCAATCAGATTATGAGGAGGAGATTACGGCTTTACGAGCAGAGTGTGTGTCGCTACGAGACCAAACACCATTGCATCAGGCGGTGAAGCGACAAGATGAGATGTCGGTAAGCTGCTATTTTTTATCTGAGTCCTTGGTTTCCACGAATATCCATTCCTTATTGATAATACCTGCCTGTCGTACACCTATAATAAAATAGTAGTAATGATTCCCTTTCGGTGCCTAGCTGCCATGTCACCCGAAGAAAGCATGCCATCTGTTCACGGATGGGATGACGTGACTGACCGATGCGACTTGATTCGACCTTCTATCATTGTCAAATACACCTAGTAAACACTTAGTATACACCTAGTTTTCCCTGTTCTATGTAGTTCTGTTTGAATTACATATCCTTTTTTTGGCCTGCGTTTATCCTCCCTCATTTCGGCTCACGTTTTCTGCCCTGCCATGATAAGAAATCAGCTGCCATCAGTTCCGTTCCGTTCAGTTCATTTTAACGACTGTAAACCATGTAACAAGGGTATGTTGGTTCCAGCTGTTAAAATGAACTGAACTGAACTGAACCGGAAAGTGGCGGAGCGGGGACGATATAGATAGATATTGGAGGCGATGGCATAATAAGCTAGTTCGCATTCAGTCAACCTAGTTCTTTAAAGGAACGGGAAACTGGACAGCTAGACATCAAAGAAGGGAGCTTTGAGCAATCTATGCCAATGCCATTAACTGTTGATGACGAGTGGAGACCCGGATCACCATCCACATCATCATCATTGACAGCAACGTCAGATGAAAACACTGGTGATTCAGTGGGAAGAACAAAATGCGGCAGGGCAGGACTCATGCAGCTGAACTACCACACATCCGAGGCGCCTATATCGCCAACACTCACTCAGACAATCTGGATTCATGACTTTGACATCAGACAACATGAGCTTCACTACCATCAGAGCTGATGCAACTTTCGAGATACGTATAATATTCCAAAACTTCCATTGTTGAAGTGTCAGAGGCTTATTCAAAGACTGTAAGTCCTGCAGCTTGACTTAACACCTTGTGGCACTAGGCACATACCGAAAGTGTGTATGACCTTGGTCAGTTTTTCCAACATTGCTTGTGCTCTCCGCTGCTTTCCAAGGTTCTCCTTTCAAGGCTTTCGCTCGGAGAGATCTCAACGCCTCATCACCTCATAAATGACGGAGTTAAACGAAAACGGATAGTTGACATCGTTGCTTGTAGGAAAGCTTTTGGAGAGCTCCCCATGCACTCCCACGCTCCCAATAATTATGTGAATACGAACAGATATTCGCGAGGTTCTGGAGCATACCCTGTTGCCTAATCGTATTGTAGAAAAGAAAATGGTCGACGGAATCGAACGCACTCTTGAAATCAAAGATTGTGAAGATCTTACGGTGCCTATATGCATGCTGTTGCTCTAACACTGGATGGACTCTGAAGATGTGGATCCGTCACGAAGAGACTGGGCCTTACCATGGTGTGGCGGTTTACGCACCTTAGTGACCCATTGAGCTATACTGGGTTGTCCCCATAACACTCACCAGGTTGGTCAATGGTTAGAGATCTGGTCCTCCAGTTTGGGAATTGGAACATGTGGCGACTTGTTCCGTATAAATGGTAATACATTTGCATTTCCCGCCGAACATCACTTCCTTGCGGTTAGACTTTTGAGCTAATGGCTTTGGTTGAGGACCTTAATCGTCTTCCTGTGGGTGCTCTGATAGTATCCCAGCCCATTTACAAGTATGGCAGCGAAACATCGATGTTGAACACTGATGTCATGCTCTCGATGATGAGGATGATGAAGATGTGGTCCACAAGCCCCTTTCCAGCCGGGATACTGCTTGCCGTTCTCCGGTCCCGTCTTCACGTGCCTTCATAAGACGACCTAAAATAAGCACTGCAAAGAGTCTGATTACAATGGATGCTAAGCCACACTCACTGTGAGAACCCTGTCTAAAAATTGGCACAACCAACGACCCACTCCATTTAGTCGGGACGGTCCTCTTATGAGTTTATTGGTTGGCGCTTTCATACTTCGTTATCAAGCCATAGACTTTTCACCTATCGGTCGTCTGAGCTC